GAGAATTTCAGAACAGTAACTGACCTTGCTAATAATTGTGGTGTCAATTAAAAACTCATTTATTATTAATTTAATGATAAGTTTTAATATAAGAATTTCATATAAAATACACCAAAAATAATATTATAAACATTTTACATTTTGTATTCAATATAATGGCATAAAATTTGTATAAAAATATATAATTTAAATAAAAATAATTCATTAAAAGGCACATAAATTGCAATTTAAGTAATAATTATTAAGTTAATTGAGATCTCGATGTATAGTATATGAAGATTGATATACTATAGGCTTGGAATGGGTTTGAAGAATGAATACAAAACATTGAATGTCTTGATGTCTTGGGATGTGATCTGATGAGCAAATATGCCTAAGAATTCATTCGATTGTCTTAATTGTATATTAAATGTCATTATTTGGTGATTATATGTACAATGAAATGATGATAATTGTGTTCACTAATGGAATGAATGATGGAATGAAGTTATAGTAAATGTATGTGTGATACACGACTAAATCACTTTACAATTCATGTCGAAGATGTTGTGTTGACTTATTTTGGCCTAAATTTACTCAATTATCTTATGAATGCTTTGGCATTTTGAGCAATAAATCCAATCAATAATTTACAAAATCTATTAAAATAACAATTAATTTAAACAATTATTTCTCTAATGACTCGTCCGCTCCTATTCGTCGAGTATTCCATCTCTTCTTCATATGGAATGTGATTCATATTTGACGGATCCATGGCTTGCATAAGGTTTGGATCAGTCATGTTAGACATCGGGTCATTCATCATATCCATGCCCATAGCTGTACCGTAAGCATTGGCACCCATTTCCTCGTAATATCCCATTTCTGTTCAAACAATCATTACTTCAGTATATTTTCATATAGTGTTATAATTGTATCAATTCTTACGCATATTATTCTTTCGGTTCATATTTAAGTTGTCGTCATTTAAGGGTTGATAGCCTTCGTGCGGGTAATAGCCATAAGAGCCGAGATATCCGTTGGGATCCATTTGCATCTGAGCGGTGCCATAGGCCGAGTGGTAGGGAATACCGTTGTCGTTGGGATTGTCATTCATCATATCATTCTTAAGCATATTCCACAGCTCTATCTGTCCGTTCTCACTGCTGGCACCAGGACTCGGCTCATTGCCCTCACCAGTCAAGTAGTAATTCTGTGGAATGTGTCCGCCCAGGGAGTCACTGGTAGCCGAATACAGAGGCGGAGAGATTTTGCTCATATTCGATGTGTCCACGTCTCCCATTAGACCTGTTTTATCACAATTCAAACCATAAGTAAACATCATTTGAAACTTTTTATCATTATCTCAAAAGCAAACCTTTATTATCGTGTGAGGCATAAAACGGTTGACTTATTGTCGTTACTTTAGGTCTTCCAGAAGTTGAATCCGATTCGTAATCCTTTTTATCGGATTTATCTTTTCTCCTCCAACAGCAGCACAGTATGGATACGACAACAGCCAAAGCACTGACACTTGCGATCATTATAACAGTTAACAAGTGATCAGTTGTCAGACTTTTGGTCTCTCGAGCGTAGATGGAGTCCATTTTGACGAGATGTTCGTATCCACACCACGAGTCGTTGCTCTGCAGACACAGAATCACTCGAATATCACTAATCTCTTCGGCCGTCGATTTTAAGTAAACGTTTTCTTGATTGGAAATTATGGGAACAGTTGTCAATTGTCTCCACTCGCCATTGTTTTCACTCCTGATCTCAATCTTTGCCACTAATTTCAGAGAAACGTCATGCGATTCGACGTTAAAAACTAAAGTATTCTTCTCTCTGTCGTAAAGTGAGTCGAAAGCGTTGGGCATATCCTTAAGATTGACTTTTGTTGTCACTCTTAAGTCTTCAGAATATGGACTATAGCCTCGAGGGTTGACGGCTAGCACTCGGAACTGATATTCGTGTCTAGACTCAAGACCCGTAATTTTGCACGGATTTAGACTACGACACGATTCGTTACGCCAGCGCTCGCCGTCATTATAAGTGACCACATATTCAGTGTTACCGAACCCGCCGTTAAAGCCCTCAATCCATCTTAAGATGACTGAATCAGACAGCACTTCAACCATTTCCAACTGCATTGGCATTTCTGGGGCTGACTTCTTGGCAAGTTTGATGATGGTTTTCTCGTCGTCGTCGGCCACTGAGTTAAACGCCCGACACGTGTAGTCTCCGTAATCGCTCTCTCGAGTGTTGCGGATGGAAAGGGTGCCGACGTGTATGTCATCTCCCAATTCAGTGCTGTTAGTGTTGTAGCGGTCGCTGTAGTTGTCGAGTGCTTTGCCTCTGAAGAACCACTCGAACTTAGGGGCCGGATATGCAGACATCTTGCACTGTAAGACTGCTATCTCTCCAAAATCAAACGCAACCCTATTATAGGTGTGTCGGACAACAGGCGAGTGTTCAATACGAAGAACTGTAGTAGACTTAGCACTTTGACCGATATTATTGTCAAACAGACACGTATACCTTCCCCTATCATTGGCCGACAAACTATTGGTTCCTTTTCTGGTAGTGGACTCAAAGTGCAGAGTTGTCTGAATGTTGTGGACGTTTGCGTCCTCTATTTGTTCCCTCTTTTCGACCCTAAACTGTGAATTATCGGCACTGATCTCAATGTCATTCTGAAGCCAAATCACATTAGCCTTAGGCTTAGATCTGGAAATACACGTGAGTTTAAAGTTACGGTCGCCTTCTTTGACAATAAACTGCGGTTTCATTGATATAACCATTTGCGGCGATTCATTGACAGACAAATACACTGAACCTATCTTTCCCTTTCCGAGTGAATTAAAGGGTTCACAGAAATAGCGGCCCTCTTGGCTCACGTGAACAGCGATAAACGTGTAGTTAATACGTCGACCTAAATCTTGCTGCTCCTGTCCCTCTCTCCACCACCGGTATTCAGGTTCCGGATAACCGGGAGGTTTCGACTGACACGTCAATGTGAACGGCTTTCCTGCAATCGCCACAGGATTTTGTGGCAATATTTCCGTATCTCCCGGTCTATGCTTAACACGCACTCTAACTGTCGAGTTGTGAGTCCTTTCAATACCTTCCACAGCACCGGAAGGTTTAAGATTAGTGCTGGCGATGCAGATATAGTTGCCGGAGTCTTCGGCCTTAATTCGGTTCAATGCCAATACAGTTCCCGTTTGTTTGAATGATGGGTCGTCCTCTTTGAGCCAAACAACAGTATGTGGTTTAGGATTGGATGCTATATTGCACTTCACATTAAAAGCTTCGTCAGTAACGGCTTCCCGTTCAGGAACTACATTCACTTTTGGTCCATAAAGAACAGCCAATTCCAGGGTCTCTTTCGCAGGCGTCCCTCCGACACCGTTGTCTGCAATGCAGTCATATTTGCCGGAGTCATCGGGTTTGACACGAATTATTGTATGATTATTAGTATTGGTTAAGATCTGTCCGTTTTTCATCCATCTTATACTCCGCACCGGAGGGTTAGCCTCAACATTACAAGACATTTCTGCGTTCCCATCGACTGACACTTTGAGTGGATTATAAGGTCCGACAGTAACTCTCGGTTTATCTAATAATTTGTAAATAATTTAATGTTAAAATCAAACTCAAGCTTATATTATACAATATAATGTGAAAAGTGCTTACAGTGAACAGTCAACGGGACAATAGTTTCAAGTTTTTTGTCGTCCCTAATGGCTCGGTTCCAAACAGTGCACCGGTATATAGCTCTGTCCAGTTCAAGGGATGGCTCAATCGTTAACGTATTTACAGTGGGTTTATCTCTTGTGCCGCCTTTTGTCAACTGTCCATCTAATGGTGTGCTATCACGAAACCACTGTATGATAGGGTCGGGACTTCCACCCTGACTGGAACAGCTCAGTTCAAAGGGTTCGCCTTCTTTTGCCACTGGATTTAAAGGAGTGATGAGCGGAGGACCGGGAGGTACTGGTGATAAATTGGCAGATAAAACAGTGATCATTGGTAAATGTTATGAACTCATGTGCTTTACTGTAACCCTTACTGAGAATAGTGACGACATAGGACTGGCTCTTGATCTCAGCGCCATTGCCCGCCTCCTTAATCTTGCACTCGAACTGTCCGTTGTCTCTGTCATATTGAGCTCTTTTGATGAGCAGATCGTATTTGCCTTCAATGGTATTGTGTTCAACACTATAGTCTGATTCTAATGGGTTCTCATTGATGGCCACGGGATCAGTCTTAACATTGTTGGTTCGGTGCCAATAAAAGATCAATTTGTTAGCACTCGAGCCCAGCATTTGGGGATTGAATCTACAGTCGAGGCGAATGGTTTCGCCCTCAACCGCATCCTTATTACCCGTCGGCTCTATTTGCTGCGAACGAACGCCTAGTTTTAATAATATTATTTTTGGTGTATTTTATATGAAATTCTTATATTAAAACTTATCATTAAATTAATAATAAATGAGTTTTTAATTGACACCACAATTATTAGCAAGGTCAGTTACTGTTCTGAAATTCTCCTAAATAAGCAATAACGGTATACTGTAGTGTAATTCGTAAGTTATACGGTGTACAGTGCTATTGCAGTTATTATTATAGGTCATTTACTATTACAAGTAAAAGTTATCTCGATTCATACAATTTAAATCATTAAGCAGGGTTACATTGGGAATAAGGACATAATAAAAAGGCTACACATTTTTTTGAGTTCACACTTTTCCTAATAACAATTGATTTATAAACTTACAACTTTTTAGAACATTAATAGTGAAGTACAATATAATTAATAAATTGTTTAAGTTTAAAGTGTCCAGGATCATAGCTATTTATAAAGATGGATGGTTGTAAACATGACCACAGAATTACTTAATCATTATACAATTATACAGTCAACAGGGACACTATTCGTTGGACATTGTAGACTAGATATTCTTGATTTTTGGTGACAAAAGTTTTGTTCAAACATTTTGTCAAATAAATGACCACAGAATTACTTAATCATTATACAATTATACAGTCAACAGGGACACTATTCGTTGGACATTGTAGACTAGATATTCTTGATTTTTGGTGACAAAAGTTTTGTTCAAACATTTTGTCAAATATCAAATTGACGTCATTTATGGTGTCATTGGATCTATTGAATTGATCTATTAGGATTCACTCAATTTTGTACAAATCTTCTCATAAATTTGTTACCTGGGAATATGCTCACGATTCCCTTCCTTTTCATTTTTAATATACAAGTTTCACATTTAATATTCAATTAAATATAGAAAATTAATCAAAAGATTTAAATTGATTTTTGAAAAAAATCACAAAACTTAGAGCAACTTATTAATAATAAATGAAATATTAAATGATAGATAATAAATGGTTAATAAGTAACGAAACAAAAAACTACTATAATTCCAGTTTAGTATCGTTAAAACAAATTTAATTATTGTATGTTTTTACATAAATATAAAAATAAAAATAAGAATATAATATAAATAAATTGTTTGAAATAACAGAATAAAGTGGTTGTGAGGGGAGGGGAGGGAAGGGAGGAGAGGGCGGGAATAATAGTGATTCTCCTGTAGTGAGCGAACCCTCACAGAGATACTGATTGCAGAGAAAGCGATCACTTGTGACAAAATGGCCGCAAAACCGTCTTTAGTGGCGAAGATCTCGCAACAGATCCCAGTTCTGGTGGAAAGTAAGTACAGACTATGACTGACTCCATGACCACAAGTGACTCAATGGTTGTCCAATAGGGTCTAAGCCTAAGCTTCGGACATTCGTGCGCTACGCTCGGGTGGAGCTCACCCCTCCCAACCCCACAGAAATACCGCAAATCATCGGTAGCTTCACATCACTGGTGCGGAGCGCCCGCACGGGTGGGTGGAGACAGTTGACGGTGAGGGAGGCGTGGCTCAACACCCTGGTCACTGTGGAGGTGTTGTGCTGGTTCTTCGTGGGCGAGTGCATCGGCCGAAGACATCTCATCGGATACGACGTGTGAT